AGAATTACTGACAGCCTTCTATCCTTCTGAGGTTGGTAAAATGAGGACCCAGACTGTTGGGGGCAATGTGCTCACTTTGTAAACCACTTAGAGAGGGTTGTAAAGCTCTGTGAAGTGGTATATAAGTCTAAATGCTATTGCTATGTAAGTTATACATGTAAGGCAATATTGCAGGTTTAGTTTACCATTAAAAGGATAATTTCTCCAACCATATATGGCAAAGGGGAAAGAAAGCTAATGTTCCCAAGTGACTTTGATCTTAAGAGACAGTACTTGTAGCTTGTCAATCTCAGAGGACAGTTTGAACAATCCATTCTGAATAGGTGGTACACACTTGCTAAAAAAACAGCAAGTGAACAGCCAAGATATCCAAGAGTGATACTCCCCTTCTCTGGTACTACTTTTATAATTTACAATTACAATTAACTAATAGAAGCAACTACCATTGACAAATAACAGTTTGTCAAAACAGTTTGTAAAAACACATCTCTCCTTGAGACCCACATGTGTGATTGTAGAAAAGTAAAAGAAACAATGAAATACAAAAATTAAGAAAAATGAGCTATATTATGGAACAGAAGAGGACGTGGTATTACAAATGTGAATTGAGCAAGCATTAGCATGTTTATACTCAGAGACAATATAAAGAAATGTTTGTAAGAATAAGCATTAATTGTGCTAATCCTGATACGGATTGTTCAAGGGGATTAAACAAGTTGATTCTTGCATCAATTTTGTATTTATGTAAAGAACAAAGTCGCCCACACTGTTATTTGTCAACTGTAGTTGCTTTTATTAGTTAGTTGTAATTGAAGTTACAAAAGTAGTACCAGAGATTGGAAATATCGCGGTTGGATATTTTGGCTGTTGTGGTTTTTTTATCCATTGTAGTGGAGGGCCTCCGATATGCAGAATGTAGTAATACAATGTTGTTTTTTAAAAAACAGGCCCTTCTCTTTGACTTGTTCTCTGAATTTGACATGGTGAGAAAGACAACAAGGTGATTGATTCCTCTTATGAGAGCACTCTCTCTATCTCTTGTGAGTCCCTTTCCCAGAAGAGTTCGGCGTGCCACATTATCCACAGACAACCAATATTTCCAATGCTTTAAAAAGTGGCTCTTTCTGTCTACTCATGTTGTTTATATAAAAGGTTTCAAAGACTAGTCATAGAATCCATGTTTTATTTAAAAGCCATATGGATTCCATCAAATGCTGCCTGTTTGACCTTGCCAGACAGAATACAAATAATTAGCGTCACACATTTGCATCTGGAGATAGGGAGGCGTATCAGGGAGTTGAGGTTGCCTCTGGATAAGCAAGACATGATAACAAGGGTTTTAATGATAAACAGTACTTGAGTTACCCTGGGAAAAGAGAACTGAGAAGAAATTAGTGTGAAAAGATGGCAATGCTTGCAAGCATTGCAGAATTAGTGGAAACTGAAGCAAAGCTAGATAATGTGTGTCCAATTATGGGCATGTTCATATTAACATGCAAATATTTACAACCCTGAATCTTATTAAAACAGAACTTTTTTATTTTATTTCTTTAGGCGTCTTTAAGTACCTCTTTTTCCATTCTGATCTGTGGGCAATCGGAAGATGAAAGTTTGGACAAATGCATCTTTTCTTATTGTACTATATTAAGTTATATCAAACTCTAATCTTACAGGTCATCTCATCTAACATCCTGCTCCCTTAGTGACCAACTAGATGATCATAGGAAACCTAACAATAGGATATGAGTGCTGTTCTCTTTATATTCCACACTGACTTTATAGTCAACAGTGACTACTGCTCTGAGGTATCCTTCCCTCTTAACCCAGGGGGAAAGTATAATGCATAGTTCCTTGTAGTTATTGGGAGCCTCCATGAATTTGCTTAGGTGTCAATATCATGTTTCCTTCTATTGCTATTCCTTTAGAATCAATAGCAGAACCTATATTTTCCTCTATCAGGAAAAAAAACCACTTTCTTTTTGTTCCTAGCACAGATTGCAAAATAGGAAACTACTAGCCCATCATGGGGACTGAAAGGAACCAGTAACCAAACTATTTGTTATTAAAGCAAAGGAATGTGACTGGAAGAGGTGAGAGGTCATTTCTTTCTGTGGTCAGCCTGATTTGAGTGAGAAACAGGCACTTCTGGTCCCTAAAATCCACTCTGGGGAAAATACAGCTGTCTCAAAAAAAGGCTCAAATGAGGCTATTTCAAGAATAGACAGTAGCATTCCTCACATTACAACCAAGGCCCACTCCTGCCTACTGAAATGGCAATGAACAGGTGACTCTGTCTCTCCTGCTTACACCAGAGAAGAGCCATTTGAAAGCAATCTACCGCAGATGTTATTTTATATGTAATGAACATTGCAGTGTATCAGCATGCATGTTGAATTTAAACACAGTTTTACTCTAAGATATCTCTGGGGTGGAATAATTAGTGGATAATTAGTTCAACATTGAGGCCCATATTTGATATATATCCTAAATATATAACATATTGTTTTATAAATCTGTATTGTCCTGTAAACATATAACGTATAATATACCACTCTTTAATATTTATCACATTCCAAATATTAGAGATGTAATGTAGAGTAATAACTTACTGTATTTGATAGTATTCAGAAATATATTTTAAAAATTAAGCCAGTCTAAGAAATATTTGATGGGCTAAGAAATAGTTGAGAATTGTGCTTTTAAAAAAAACCTGTATCTAATTTTCATTAATTCATCTCAAATGTAATTTCTCAAACATGCCCATGGCTATATTTCCTTTATTCATTTTTTTTTCATAAAACTGAATAAGCTTCACAGTTCATTGGGAGAAAAGAATCAACTTTAATCCATTCTTGGCCTATAATTATAGTGAATTATCAGTATCAGTCAAATACAAATATAAGTATATATGCTCTTTTACACAAGATTTTACAATCTTGTACCTATTTTGAAATCTCATATTGTCTTTTCTATTGCCATGGTCAATCTGCAACACAACTGATAAAGTCCCCAGGAAGATTGCAAAATGAGACCAATGAAGAGAACCAATTCGTATCTTGGTATTTTAGATGTATGCTATGTGTGACCAACCTTGTTTGCAGAAGAAGCAGTAGTGGAAGAAAACAAAGAAGAAAAACATTCTTCAAGTCTAATGTAAATAAAAGGTAACTTATTCTGACTCAACATAGCCAAAAGGTGGGTAAATGTTAGACACTACTAGTTTATTTTTTTCACTGTATTATGTTTTTAAGCAACTTATTATATATGGTGAGTGACAATGTAATTGTACATTACAAGTATATGCATAGCAAAAGCTATTCCTGAAATTTCCAATCAAGATTAAGATTGCAACTGAAATGTCAAGATGCCTTTGTAAATCAAACTCCAAATATTCATGTTGACTCAAATCTCCTTGTGCACCAGCTACCTGATTCAAATTAAATGAATATCTGTTTTACCTCTGACCTGTGATAGATTTGAAACTATTAGGAAGGGGGAAAATACATTTTCTTAATTTAGATGGTCTTCATTATAATTATCCTCCATTGATTAGTGCTGAATTTTACATTGCAACAGTAAGAAAGATAATTTATTTAAGGATTTTCTTTTATCAGCTGCATCTACCATGTTTGATTTTTGCTGATAAATTTAGTAAAATGACTGGCATCCTATGACAGGCTGGGCAGCATAATAGATTTTACCTTCCTATTTACCTTTTATGCACTCCATATGATTAGGGGAATAATCCAGAACAACTGTAGAGCATCAAGGGAAGGAAGTGTTTCACCATAATGAAAACATTCACATCTGCATAGAATGAACTTATGTGACATTGTCACTTTATTCCCCAAGAACCTAGCAGCTATTTTATAACAAACTGCAATAGTCAGTATCAGTATCTTCCTCAAGATGTAAATAGCACCACGAGCATTCCTTCCAGTAGGCCAATGGAGGCCTATAGAATCTAACAACCAATCAGAATCCTCTCCTTCTTACCGAACTCTGGTTCCAATTACCGTAATTGAGGGCTTAACTGTATTTGTAGGATAATATCATCAGATGTATATCATTTTGACTATCATTACAATTTGGGGAAAATGCTATTGATACCTACTTCAAAATCATTTTAAAATAACATTTGATCACCCTTGGAAAAAATATTCTAATTTAATATGACTTAAGTTTTATACACTATGGCCAATAGTATCAGCATTATGTATTTAACATAACATGTAGGTGTAAGAATAATCCTACAAGCCTGCTGGTTATTATGTCAATGTTTAATTGTTCATAAGTCTTAAAAATTATTACCTGGTCTATTATTGGAATTTTTTAAAAAAGAAAACCCTTATTGAACCAATGTGATTGCAAATGTCTTATAAATAGACCACTTTTATCTGAAGTTTTGTTTTCCTTTTTGCATTGCAAAATAATATATTACCTCCCTTAATTCAATATTTCTTACAGATTCATATTTAGTAGCCAAAAGAACAGGGTACTTTAAGCTGGTTTACGTAATAATAGAACAGCTAGGGTTTCTGATAAATATTATATTGAAGTATTTTTTGCTACAATCATTGTTATCAGAGTCGCTTATAAGAGTTTCTTACTTTNATGTTGTGTTTTTTTTAAATTCCTGTTTTAAATTGTATTGTTTTATGTTTTTAATCTTTTTAATATCTTAACTGTTCTTATGTAAGCCGCCCAGAGTCCTTCAGGATTGGGCGGCATACAAATCTATTAAAATTCAAATTCAAATTCAAAGTATGTGTGCATGTGGATGCTGCAGCTAAGAAGCAAATGCTATTCTTTTAAGATTAAGATGTCAAAGCAATTGTATATAGACAGTAATGTCACAAAATGTGATTCGGGAGAATTTTCTCTCTCTTTCTACATGAAAGATAGCCAATCATAGCCTCCCTCAGTACAAAACGGAAGTTTTGTGAGCGCTTTCCATAGAAGCATTTGCGCATCCATAATATGCCCAGGTGTTTGCTTACTTGTGAGGAAGAGGACCAAGAAGACCAGCATCTTCCGAAAGAAAGCAGGCATCATGGCTGTCAGTTCTGTTTCATGCAGTACCCTGTAAAAAGAAAAGCCAAACCAGTGATGCATAGGAATCTGGAGAGTGGGCAGTATATGCCATGACCAAGGGTAGATTAATAAATATTGATATATTAGGATAATATTAATACAATGAATGAATGAATGACTAATCTGTTCCTTTCTTTGGGGTTGTGTATGGCAGCCAAGGTAGTGGCTATCTGCTTTAATGAAAAAAGCAACGGGCAAAGGAAATTTAAGCCTAACTTTAATTTAAACAATTGGTGCCAAATGTCTCCACAATGCAAATCTTTGGGATTGTTACTGGTTTAAAAAAAATAGATGATGTCTCTTGCTTTTTACTCTGTTAACAATATTGGTTTAATAGGGCTTGGAGCTCATTGTTGTGGGAAGAAGTCAAAAAAATCCAAGAGAGCAGCTTGAAGCCATTACTGATGACTGCATGACTTTAGTTTTGGAAAAGGGCTGGCACTGAATCATAACCACGACATCCCAATGTAATGAGATAAGAAGTATCTTGTGACTATTTTTCATAATTTCTTACGTCATCCAAGGTCAATTTACTTTACAATTTGGACATAGCAGCTGAATGAGGTATATATCTATGAAAACCACTGTAACTTAATTCTTTTTTTCTGTATGTATGTAGTGATTCATATTCCGAGTTCCACACATCTTCTCTAGATGGATGACAACCAATGCTCTGAACTTGGAGATAAAGAAGTGTTCCAGAGCATGTTCCGAAGTCCTTTTTCTTGTCTTTGAAACAGTATGTGTGTGAGTATGCTCATATTTGCAAAGTGCCCATAAGTAAATTGTGTTTGTAGCATAAGTAAGTTCTATTTGCATTTTATAAGTGAAAAATTGAGCACCAAGAAACTAGATTAAGCAGACTGCCTTCTCAAGTACAGTCAATTTCTTAAGGCTGAGGTCTGTATCATTTTCCAGATGGAAGAACACCAAAGAAAAAGGATTTGGAGGGGAAAAAAAGTAACATTCTAGGAAACCCTTTTGCAACTATTGCAACTATTACTTTTGAAGAGAGTGCAATAAAGAACTTGTGATATTATCATCTGATACTATAGATAGCCTCTGGTATTCCAGATCCTTAAGCACATTTATTTGCCTTCTCAACACATTTTCATATGCAAATCTGGAAATACAGTAGGGTTGCAAGGCTCTATATAGATTCTATATTCCTTTTGCATTAAATCACAGCTTCTACTGGCAGCCTAAAAACTGTACAAATGTAATGGAGGGTACAAATCCTTCTACGTCAGGGGTGTCAAACTCAAGGCCCATGGTGCTTAAATCCAGCCCGCAGGACTGGCCTGGAAATATCAACAGATCGGCCCATGGTGCCACTGCTAGCCAAAATGGGCCACGTGCGCCCCCTGGCTTCCAGAAGCACTCTGCCGGTCAAAAACAGGCTGTGCGGAGGCCTCCACGTGGAGATCTATCTATCTATCTATCTATCTATCTATCTATCTATCTATCTATCTATCTATCTATC